CGTTTCATTTCGTTACTCAAAATGGGTCACGCCGTGACGAACCGTTAGTTTTCCCCGTTAAGTGACACATGTCACAATCTGGTAATTTTAAAAAACTTATTTAAAATTAAAAATAAAATTATATATTTTTAAAAAAAAGCACACAATTTTTTTTTTGAAATAACTCCAAAACTTTGAAAACCTTCATTTCAACCCCTAACCCCTAAATCGTTCAGCTAACTCTTCCAAGCTCGTCCACTCGGCGACGGTGGCTTACCAAACCAGTTGGGTTTTGGTCGGACAGGACCGGCGAACTCAGCTTCAGTGGCGGTGAGGTGGAAAGGTGGCAGTTTTGGCCGAAAATCGCAAAAAACGAACGGTGATGGAGGCTTTTCGTCGGACTTTCAAACGCCACTCCACCACGAATGATTGTTATACGGAGACGAGTGGATGACTAGGCTATGATCGGTCAAGGACGGCGCTTCCACTGGGCTAGGCGGTGATGAATCCCGACGAGCAGTAGCCAAGGTTAGAGGTGGGCGACCGAATGGCTTCCTTGCGATTAAGCTCGACGGTGACCGATTTCGGGTGATCTGAGGGTCGGGTTGAGGTCGTCGGTTGCTGCTGAGTTAGGTGGGAGCGACGGTGTACACCACCACCGGTCGGAGAAGGGTGGTCTGGTGACAGGGTTAAAGGCTAATGGGTTGAAATGATGGTTTTCAAAGTTTTGGGGTTATTTTAAAATTTTTGTGTTTTCTTTTTTTAAAAATATACAATTTTATTTTTTAAATTTTAAATAAAAATTTTAAAATTATCAGATTGTGACACATGTCACTTAACAGAAAAAAACTAATGATCCGTCACGGCATGAACCATTTTGTGTAACAAAATGAAACGTTAGGCACCAAACTGAAACGAAAAAAACGTTAGATACTAAACTGAGAAAAAGAACATATGTTGGACACCTTTTGTATATTTAAGCAAAAAATGAGCTATAAATTTACCTTAGAAGCGTTGGGACTCTTTCGGCCCATTTGTTTTGTTAGTTTACTTTAATTAGGAATGGCAACGGGTCGGGTTCGGGTGGGTTTTGCTCACCCCGTTCTCGAACCCGAAATGAATCCCCGATCCGATTCCCGATGGATTTTTTATCGGGGCGTCCCGTCGGAGATTTTTTTTACCCCGTCCTCAAACCCGACCCAAAATATTATACTCAAACCCGAACCCTAAAATATTATATATATAATTAATATAAAATAAATAAAATATTATATATATAATTAATATAAAATATATAAATATATATATATATATATATATATAATCGAGGCGGGTCGGGCGGAGATACCTTGCCTCGAACCCGAACCCGATCCGAAAAAATCTCCGAAAAATCCCTAAACTCAAACCCGACCCGATATCATTCAACCCGACCCGACTCGAACTTAATCAGGTTTCGAGTTTCCCCGTCGAGTTCGGGTCATACTGCCATTGCTAACTTTAATCACATCCCCTGGTAAATATATATATACACATATACAACAGTATCAGAAATGTAAATGTAAATAATCAGATCAGTAAATATATATTTATCTATTGGTTTCATAATAATTTCCCTTCTGCTACCATAGCCTGGGAAATTAGAAGAAGTAATCCAGTCCATCTTCCATTTAAATCGGATAAAAAAGGGCTTTGATTCTCCCATTTTGCAGAACCATGAATCCTAGGCGGTCAGTCGAATCTTTATCTTGCGAATTCTTTTTTGTAATCAATGGTTTAGTTGCGTTAAATTGCTTGCTCAGATCTGTTTATGATTTATTTTCATCTGATCAGTTCCTTTTTCCCCTGAAAGCCTTTCTTCTTGATTCTCCCCTTTTGATTTTTCAGTTAATCTGATATTTCATATGATTTTATCAACATTTTCTTGCGTTTGAGAAAGTGTTAGTTTCATGTTTATGTTTATCAACTCGCAAGGTTTGTGATCGAAGCAGGTATTGCCATTATAGCTTCGTTCGTATATCAGATTTTTCAATCGACCTTTCTAAATTTGAGCTTCCTATCTGTTTGTATAGCTAAAACGGTAACGCTTCTCTTTGATTGTTAGTTTTCATAATGACTTTGATTTGTGGATTCTATGCTTCATATGAAGTTACTGTTATGTTGTGTTCTTATTCTGGCTGTCATTATTGGTAATAAGATCTCTCCTTTGGTTACAGGGACATGCGTAACAACAGAGTTGCACTTTTCGATGTCATCGAGGAAGGTGGCATAAGGACCTCATCTTCTTACTCACACGAAATCGATGAGCATGAAAATGAAAGAGCAATGGAAGGATTGCAAGATAGAGTGAATCTGTTTAAGAGAGTAAGTCTTGTCCATCTTATGCCATTACTAATTCAATTGTTTGTATTGGTTCCATATATAGCCGATTAACGAATTAATAGTGTTTTAGCATTTTATTTTTGGTTTGGGATGTTAGAATCTTTTTACTCTTTGTGATAGAATGTTTCTTTTATATTCATTAGTTCCTATTTGACAAAGCTGGGGGAGTGGAATCCTAAAATAACTTATTTTAAAGAGCATTAAAGGTGATATGCTCTTGTAAGTACGGTAGATCGTTCAGAAAAATCTATGGTTTATTTTTTTAGGGTTAAAAGTGGACATAGTTGGGTCTTCTTTTTATATATCTCTCGTTATTTAGGACCCTATTCACCTCTTTTATTTTCTTTTTTCTTCAATTGAATTGAGAAATAAAGAGGGTTGATTGTCCATCTTTTTAATATAATCTACTAAGTGAAGGTCTTTCTATCATTTCAAGTGTCAAGGATTTATCATGTTTAGGTGTAGATTTTAAGCTTGAATCCTGATACAATCATACACTTATATGGCCAATGCAATCTTGATACATTATAAGGTTGTGGAATTGATAACACATTCAGAATATAACCATATATGTCCTGATTTTTTTTTGTAAACACAAATGTCATGCAAGCATGCTCTGATAAATGCCACTTCGATAGCTGTCAGGTGATATACATGAGGAGGTGAATAGTCACAATCGCATGCTGGATCAGATGGTAAGTATGCAGCAGCAGTAAAACTGTCTTTTTCACGATGTTATTGGTTTCATTTCTCATGATGTTAGTTTATGGCTTATGGTTTGTATTTAGGGAAATGATATGGATGCATCCAGGGGAATACTCTCAGGAACAATGGACAAGTTTAAGATGGTATGTCATATGTGAACTCAATGAACTTTTGCTCTTTGTGAGTTTTTCAAAACTACTTTTGCTTGCAGCTTCCATTTCTTCCCGATATGAGTATGATGTGTGCTGATACTTGGTACATCAACTGTTTCATGCCATAGCTATGAACTTGATCTGCCTTTCAGGTATTCGAGACCAAATCAAGCAGAAGAATGTTTACACTGGTGGCATCTTTTGTGGTTATTTTCCTTGTCGTATACTTACTATGTAACAGATCTACGATGTTTTTGTTGAGAACTTTATGTGACAATTTGGAAGACCCTCTTTATACATGGTTACTGTAAACAATGTTCTCTCAAACATGTAAAATGTTTTGGTATATCAAGCAGACCTTGGTGGCATGAAGTAGCAAGCAGTTAATGACCTTTTAGGCTCTACCATCCTACAACATAACCAATTTGCAAATATCTTCTTGTACTCCTGTCATTGCGTTAAAGATTCGAATCCCGACTGACTGTAACTGTCTTCTAAGTTCCAAGCTCCTACTTGAAACTAAGCAACTAATATCTGTTTAGATTTTTTTTTTGTCTGTTGATAATGAGCACTCTACAGATGCAGTTGTTCAAACTTGGGTCGTATAGGGAGAACAACATTCTCTTTTACTACTGAGGTCACTGAATGAGTTTGATACAGCGGGCAAAATGACACATATAAATAGGAACCTAAGTGTAAAATGCATGGTATTTAATTTCTCATTGGAACTCAAAAATAGCACGTTAACTTACCAGAAAAACGTATACACTTTCTGGATGCTTTAACTGTTTAATGTTGAGTCATTGTTATGGTGTTCTTTCACACAGCCTTCAACAATATGAATGTCATATCTCATGGTGTTTGCAAATTCTCATTCAGAACACAGACAGATGCAGTCATCCAATGAAACATTGTTCCCTTTATTTTTCTGTAGGAATTCGTTTTTTACAAACCGAACAAATTAACCAGACATACACTCGTATGTCCTGATCATAAGCTGACAAAGAAATGGCGATTTTTGTTGGATACCATCACCTTTTGCGACGTGAAAGCTGTACCATCTACAAGAATTTGTCTGGGAATAATACTTGTGACGAATTGAAAGCCTTAGTTCACGACAGTACAGGAGTGAAATGCCAAGGCAGCTGCAACAAGAAATCTTTAATTTAAAATCTGCTTCATTCACTGGATATGATTTACTAACCCCACTTAAAATTGGATTAAGGCTACCGATTTTCGAGTTGAGAAAAAAAAATCCATGAAATTTTCATGGATATACCTAAAGCTCATGGCGAAAACATACGCTGCATGAATTAATTTATGTTTAAGCCGAATTTGGCAAATGACTGTATAAATAACTTTTTGATCTGCATCTTTGCAGGGAGAACTAAAGAGGTTCGTGAAGTGTTGTTCGTTGATTACATAATTTTCCAAATAAAACTCATTTGAACGCTCCATAGTGTATACTTTTTGGTTTTCTTTTCATTTGATTTCTCCATTGATTGCATCGCTGTAGTCTCACAACCCATATTATAGAACAATTACTCGGAGCTCAACTTCACTAAAACATGAAACAATAATACGCTCCATTGTTTGCAAACACCATCAAGTTCTAGATCAAGAAAACAAGAATACGAAATAAAAAAAAAAAGGAAAAAAAGCCCTTGTTCTTTGAAGTACTATGATTTTACCAGCTATTAATACTTCATAATAATCTACGAACAACTATACTATACATATACAGAGAAATCCTCTTAATTATATGTATATATATATATGATAATACTATGGATCATGACCTAATCGCAGCTCCAAGTCTAGTTCATATTCTTGACTACTCCCATATGTGTTGTTGTTTTCATGATCAAATGGACCAATTCCCAAGCTAAGAGTACTCCTAGGCCAATGATTCACATGCTGTGAATTGTCTACAAACAACTCATCACTGTTTTGGGGTCTACATCCCCAACCCGAATCTGGGAAAAAGGTTTGATAACTTACAGGTAATACCTCATGAAGATCCACGGAGTAATGCGGGCGATAGCTTTGGATAGGCGGACAGGGTTTAGGGTTTAGGGTTACGTTGTAGTTGTCATCATCATAAACAGAAACTTTGTCTGCAAATCTAGGAAGAGAACTAGGCCTGCTGCTCTTGGCTCTCTCCTTCCTGTGGATGTTCATGTGCCCTCCTAAAGCTTGTGCCGTGGTGAACCCTCTCCTGCAAAACACGCACTCGTAGGACCGGCCGGTGCGGATATCGTCGGTGTCTTCGCTCGAGCTCTTCGAGTCTTCGAGCTGGTTGGATTCCATGGGAAGTGTAAAAGATCTAATCAAAGAGATTATTGGTTTGATTGGAGATTATGATGTGGTGGAAGAGGGAGGTGGGGTAATATAGAGAGGAAAAGATGAGGAAAATAAATATAGCAAAAACAAGAGACAAATGAGAAACGTAGGCATTGGATAATAGCAATTAGCTGTCTGAAAAATGCTCAGAAAAGTCTTAGATGTTTGCTGGGCGAGCTTTTCTGTTAAGCCGGCTATGGTGGTTATTCCATTTCCCCCTTTGGCAGACATTACTTTAATATTTTATTCATTTTTTTCTACTATTTGTCTGCCAATTAGAATTTCTATTTTGTTCATTTCGTGAAATTTTCACCTAAGTTAATTAAAATTAATTATTTTAAATAATAAGTTGGTCTAGTAGGACGAGACATTAGATTCTTTAAGCAAAATCTGGGTTCAAATCATGACGTTTGCGTAAGAAGCAAACTGGATTGAGAATGTCGCCCCAAGCCTTTGTATAACTCGATTTGGATTAGTTAATTAATAGATTGTATACAAACGATTAATTTTAAAAAAATATATACTTCTATTTAATTTGCATATATTAATTAAGTATTTAATATTTAGATTTAGTCGAATTAATTGGTCTCCAAACTCTAACTATCATTTTAATTTGATCATTAATTTTTAAAATATTACTCTTATTTAGTCATTAAATTATTAATATTACTTCATTTTGATTTTTTTGTTAATATGTCATTAAATCAACTGATTTTTAAATGTTCTTGAGATTTTAAAAATAGCGAATTTAATTCTCATGACCTTCAAAGAACACATTAACGTAAAGACTAAAATATAATATATTAATAGTTTAAGGATCGACATAGAATGTTTAGAAGTTTAGAGACCAATTCAAAATGGAGATCATAATTTAAGGCATCGTATGTAATTATCTCTAATATGAATTAATTAACTCATACATACTTGTGTAATTATAAAATTAATACATGTTAAACCTATTCACATTGACCTGCTAATCTTACTATCTGCGAGTCAAATACGTTAACCCTGGGGAACTTTCAGGAATTGACGGCATTTTCAAAGTTTAAAAATGTAACATTCATTAATTAAGCCCCTGGCTCTCTATAGTTAAATGGAATAATTACTGTTTCGATCCTCTCTCAATCATCAATAATTCAATTTAAACTTTTTAAAATAATTTCAAAATTTTACACCTTTATTTGAGACTGTTACTTTAAATTTGTGACTTCATGCTTGGATTGTATATCAGAAACATGTAGGAACCTTCTTGCATAATACAAATAGGGGAAATAGTGTATTTTTTGTACTCACCATTTGTCCTCCGGTATCAACTTTTCCGCCATAATAAACCCCGAAAACATAGGGTAAATTATACATCTAATGCTTAAATTATCGGTTTTGATCCATTTTAATACTTAAATTTTAATTTTTTTAAAATCATACCCAACACTTAATTTTTGTTTGATTTTAATACTCTACCATTAAAAATTTAACGTGTTTAATACCTAAACTATCAATTAAATCTTTCGATATATATATATATATATTTGTAATAAAATAATCGATAATATTATTAATGTAACACTTATCATATGAATAACTATAAGGGGATGTTTGGATGGGGGAATGTGGGATATTCATGGAAATGGAATTCACATTCCTCGTTTGGTTAGCTCGAGAATCCCATTCCCGGTAATGTAAGATTACTAATAGTGGATTCTTTGGGGGTATATTACCGGGAATGTCATTACCTCATTTTCCTTAGGTATTGTTGGATTATTGACGTTTTGGACTAAAATGCCATTAATTTTTTTTCCAAAAATATCATTCTTCTGTCATTGAATAATAAAAATTCTACGAAGGTTAAATTACAAATTTATCCTTAAACTATTTTATATTTACAAAAAAATCTATAATTAAAATTTTATATGAAATTCAGGAGTTAAAATAAATTTTTTACCCTTTTATTAAACCTTTTTACATTTTAAATTTTGTAAAAAAAATTATATAAATTTTATGAATTTAAATTTTTAAAGAAAATATATAAATATCTTCTAACTTGTTAAAAAAACAAATATATAATAAGGACAATTTGATTAAATATACATTCCAATAATCTTTTATTCCTTTAACCAAACACGATAATCTTACATTCCTGCTAAGCCAACCAAACACAAAATACAACATTCCCAATAATCCTATTCCCTGATAATCTTACATTCTCACTAGTAATCTTACATTCCGTGAACCAAACGCACCCTAAGATAAAAGTTTTATTTTTTTAAAAGAAACATCAATCAAATCTCTCTACCGCATCATCATCAGCTGTAACTTTATTATTACATTATCAACGAAAAACTAAAAGTCAAAATTTCAACAAAAATTATTTTATTAAATTTATTTTAAAAAAGAAGTTATGTGCATTTGCTATACCTTTCTAAGAAATATTTATATTACAAGTTGTAATTATCTGTGTGGAATTGAGCAACCTAAACTAGTAAAGGAGAAAATGAACAAGTAGGGTTAAAATACGAATGCAGAATTTGAAATTTCCATCTTTGGATAATAATTTAATATATTTGCAGGCCGACCATTTTAAATACAAGAGTGGGTTGATATGTGGTAGACAGGGGCAGGTGTTTTGTTTAGTACCGACGTTGATAATTAAAATGGCAGCTATCTCCTTTCTTTTCCTTCTTTTTTATCACAAAGAAAATTCATTTCCGATGATATCATATGCAACTTTGACGTCCTAGTGAATAGTGATATGTGTAACTTTTTAACATAAATATCTTCAGTTTAGGTAGAGAATCAGCTAAATATATAACTCCGATGCTAGTAAATGTAACACTAATAACCCGTAAACATACTAAATTACGAGTTAAAGACGACAAACTAACTTGTAGATACTTACTGAACAAAAATCGAGTAAAAATTTAATTTTTTTTTAAACTTAATCATATCCTCTCAATATTTTTGTACCATTTTTTCCTTTTTCTTTAATTTTCGTTTAACAGGTACTGGCTGTAATATCCCAAAATCAGGGTTAGTGACTAAAATGGAATTTTTGAAACTTGAGGTATGATTTCAAAATATTGAAAAGTTCAGGGACTTAATTGACAATATTTTGTGCAGTACGGTCTAGTAAATAATTGATGGAGCAAGCAACATAATGGTCATTTGACATGAAATATTTTTATTTTTCCCCTTATAAGAGAAGTACCACGTGGATAAGGAAGAAAAGAAATAATTAAAAGCTTTGGAGTTATCTTCTTCCTCCTTTCCAGTGTGACACCACAACTAAGGTAAGTTGGTCTCAAGTTGGTTAATTCTTTCATTTTTTAGTTGGTTTTGATTCTTGGGGAGATAGGAAAGCTTAAGATTGCTTAAAACTTAAAGGGGATTAAGTGATGTGAGATTGAAAGAAAAGAGTTTTTAAAGGAATTCTTGAGATTGGATTAGCAAATAAGTTTTGAAGTGAAAATTGACTTGTCACCAGCTAAACTAAGAAATTCAGAATGATAGAAATGAATTTGGAACATATTGATTTTTTGGTTTAATTATTGAATCTAAGCATGTTTGTGGGATTTGGGATGTTATAATGAACTAAAGTGAAATAAGTTGATTTGTATAAGTATAGAAAGTCTCAAGGGTTAAAAGAAGGTTAAGGAAGAAGAATTAAGTAGGTTTGACTGATTTTTCGAGCTTAAAAAGGAAAATTTGGGTAAGGTGTATTGGTACACATTCAATATGTATCGATACATCAAGAGTAAAATACAGAAAAATATTCAAAGTATACTGATACATAGGAAGTGTATCGATACACCCCTTGCAACGAAAAACATCGAATGTAATTTGTGTATCGATACATAGGTAGTGTATCGATACACAAGTTAAGGAATGTATCGATACACTATAGTGTGTACCGATACACTTATAAAGGAAAATGGAAATAATCTTTCTTTTAATTTAAGAAATGAAAGATTTGAGTATGCCAAGTGGAATATTTATATGTATAAATGTATGATTGTGTAGATAGCGATTGAGAGTAATGGCTGGACAAGTTTTCAAGTAATAATCATCGAGAAGAGATAAGAGATAGGTATTGACTAGTGAGACCAGATGAATGTACATTATTTAGTATATGATGGTTAATGAGAAATACGACTTGCGATAAGTCTATTTCCAATAGTAAAATGTATGAATTCATATATAGAAGTATGTTTTTGTTATGATCTATATTTGTGCATGAGTATATGTGTTAACATGTTCTTATGTATGTTGCATGATTTGTATAAGTATATGTTAGCGTGTTAAGTCATGTGAAATAGTACAAATGATCTATATGATTATATAAGCATATGAAATAAGTTATGTGATAAAGACATAAGGAAAAAAAATGAAAATGTGACATAAGTTATAAATTAAAGAATTATTTGACATAAACCATGTGAATTGGAATATATAATTATATGAATAAATAGAAAAGTGAGATAGGATAAGTAGTATTTACTTATAGGATAATATGAGAATATGACATTATTATATAGATTATATGAAAGAGTATACATGAAAACATGTATAAATTATACAGTATTGGTAAGACACTTGAGACTACATGTCTATGTATAACTTGGGAAAGTAATATAGGTAAATATATATCATCTGAATACAAAAAGTGAAATATGAAATGTGACTATGTGATATAAATGTGATATGTGATCATAAGTGATTAATTGATATGAGCTATGTGACCATATGAAAGCAAGAACATGTGACATGAAATACATGATATGTGGTAAAGAGCCACGAGCTTATACGTATATATGATATGAATATATGAAAGTGTGATAACATAAGTGACAATGCCCATGTTATGTGTTATGAGAGCTAGAGGTATAGTTGGCATGCCAAGAGTCGATGGTTCTACGTGGTCCTCCAGGACATATGTGATATGTGTTATATGTGGTCCTTTGGAACATAGTGGTCATTCGGGACAAATTCTACGCGCCCTT